TTGGTCAAGCAAAAAGTCATTTTGATGTAACCAAAATGTTCATTAATTCTGACATTGTTGAAATTAACGAGTTCAAGAAAGAGTTCGATTATTTTGATTTATATTTAAACATTTTTATATTGTTTTTTTTATTTAAAACAATACAGTTTCTTATATTTAATAAAATAATTTTAAACATTACAGTTGAAAGCTGATAATAATGGAGGTATGTCTAAAAAAAGCATAACTACACTCCCAAGCTACTCTTCTTCTTATATAGACGATTTTAAAGGGGATTTCACGTTTGTGAAATCACAGAACCACTAAAGGTATATTTCATTATTTTATATCCATTAATTTTATTTAAAAATTGTATGTTGTTTTTTTAGTTTTACATTTTATTTGATATAGGCAATGAAATTTCAATTTGTTGGTTCCATCGTCAATATAAGACAGAATCTACCTTGGTATTACGATGCGTGTTACAAATGTGGAAAAAAGATAAACACAGTGCCCAAACTCAATCTTTCCTATACTGCCCCCGACAAAATTTCAGAAAGTGTTGTTATTGAGTGTAAAGATGCAGTTTGCAACGATTCGAATTTTCATACTGTTACAAAGTATACACATATCTATTTATATTAATCATTTCAATCTTTCAACAAAATTACTATTAATCTAATATTTTTTTTGTTTAGGTATATAATTCAAATCAACTTACAAGATCATACTGGCACCATCGGATTTACTCTTTTTGATACGGAAGCGAAAAGGTTGTTGGATATAAGTGCATACGAGTTGAAAAAAAATACATGAAGCGGTATAATATTTTATTCATATTTTTGTATCGAATAACATTTTATTTGTTTAAATATATTGAACGATCTTCTTACAGGTTGGAGACAGTTTGTAACTATTTCCAAACGAAATGAACGTCTTGAAAAACCGCAAATTTGCGTTTCTTGTAGATATTACATCCTACAACATCAACAACTATAATAATATCTACAACGTTGTCAAACTTACAGAAGATGTGTCCATTGTTTCTCAATTGGAAAGTAAACTAGAACTTATGATACATAACGTTTTAATGTTCAACATTTATATTTGTTTTTTATTTACAGACATAACGTTTTACATATTTCCATTTTTTTTCTAGAGTACTCAATCAGTGTCATTAAATGAAGTACCCCTGGAATCAGATGATGTTGTTCAGAATGTTCAAAAGGTATGTTATATTCTCATATTAACTTTTATTTATATATAATTATTCCAATTGACAACTTATGTTTTTTTAATTTAGGATGTTATATCACAAACGGATGAGAGTTTTACTCTCTCAATAGTTGATAAATCATCTGCAACCAGTCCAATGAAAATATCAAGTGATTTGAAGCGCAACCTCCATGACATTTATGACGTTGATTGTGGAGGTGATTTGAGTTCAACAAAATCTAAAAGAAAATCAATCGGAGAGGGAAATCCACTTTTAGTTCCAAAAGTGGAAAAATGAGTTGTTTTTGGTTTTAACAAACAAATAAAATATTTTGATATTGGTTTGGTATTAAAAAATGTTTGGTTATTTGGTACAATGATTGTTGGAAATGTAGATTGTTATTGGACGAATTTTAAGACGATGGTTCATTTTAATTTTATTCATTTTGGTTCATTTTTTATTATTTTTGGTTTTAATATAAACATTATTTTTATCTATTTGTTATATTTAATCAAAACATACATTATCTTCTTTTATCTTGACAATCAGGTCTTCAAATTCATATTAGTTCTGTTTATGATGTTATTTCATGTTAATATGTTTACTATGTAAATTTAATGTCATTTAATTATATTTTAATTTATATTGAAAGTCTTATAAAATTTACATATCGTAATTTTTAATACAAATATATTGCTTTTATATTATATAACTTTCTGTTTAATTACATCAAACAATTTCACTTTTGTATTTCTTTCACTGTTTTTGTTTTTTATTTTAAATATGATATGATTTAAATTTTAATAATTCAAAATATGTTTTTACTGATTATATATACTTTTTATTTTATGAAAGTTCAAACTTTGTACTTGCTGCCCCTTCGTTATCTTTACATAGTTAACTGAACATTTACTTTAGGTAAACTGGTAGCCAGAACTGGATCAATAAGAAGCATGTGTCTTTCAGAAATATAATTTGGAAGCTTTTCATAGATAAGTTGAATGCGTTATCAAAGTAATTTTTTTTTTTTTTTTATTTATGCTGGTGCAAAATGTTCCACATCACATATGATACTAGAGGAATGAATGATATTTACCTGCTTCACTTGTCACCATCACTATGTATCTGGATTTTTCAATTTTTATACCTTACGAACATGCACGCAATTCATTCTCCATACTCTCGTCACTGTAAACCAAACAAATAATAGAAATTAAAAGCTTATGTAAGATTCCATTCCTTTCCTACATGATTTTTTTTTTGATAAATCATATTACTCACCTTCGAACAATAGAGACACCACATAGATTTTACAAAAGTCAACTCCAATATATACTGATCATGCAACAAATGTAAACATGGGCATTCGTGAGAATATACATACTTTAATTTCCAGTAATTTAAATAACTAGATTATGATCCGCTTAAAACGTGGAAAACATATAAAAATATACATATAAAGGTATAAAAAAGCTGGCACTATAAAAAAAAATAAAGTAACAAAAACAGATTTAGTATTATTGGTAACATTGAAATGTCTGAAAAAAAAACAATGAAACACTTGAATATCTATAATCGTTGAAAGATCTCTTTGTAGACATAACTTTTTGTTTTATTAGTTGGACGACACTCGTCATATATGAGTGCTTTCAGTCATTATTCACTTGTGACACGAGAAACAAAAAACATATAACTGACAATGAGTGAAGACGGGCCTACGCAATTATAATCCAACATTTGATAATTATTGTCATTGACTTTTGTTAATGGCCATAACAAAATAAACAACTATGGGGAATTGCCTCCGCTAAAAACGGAATGAGATTCTTTTATTAGACGGAGTTAACTTCATGCAAGGTATATAAGTAGTCTCGTTGAAGAATCTAGCATATATGATTCAGGCTTCAATGACGTGTCTTCCAATCCTAACAATATGTAACCTTGTACCATTGCACAGTCCTTTGGTTTGTTCGATATTACGAAGTAACATGACTGGAACACCTATTTTTAGTGTAAGTTTATGGTTGGAAATTCTAGACGCCTTAAAACCATTCAACACAACTGAAGAGTAGATTGATTCCTCAAAAAAATCTGGTAACTCTATCTCACATAAAGAGTATGAACTCATATATGTTTTCCCTTCATCTTTCATCAATCCTAAAATGTAGTCATTGGTAGCATCGAATTCTTCTTTGTAGGTACCAAAATAGCTTTATCTTGAAAATATGATGGATCATCAAGATGGTTTTCAAATGATGGATAAATGGCGGATACAATTGAATGAATATGGTCACTTGTAGAGCGAACAACAACGTCTTCTGGAAATTCAACTTCAACTTCACCATCATTAGGGCCACCAGTATTACCTTCACTAGTTTTAAGAATCAACTCATCAAATGCTTTTGTCTCATCCAAATCATTAGTTAGACAACCAAACTAAAGCCTCATGTTTACGATTAAACGTAAAACTGTACATTCACGCCATAATTCAACAGGGGAAGCTAAACAATTTATGATATACCTAAATAATCAAATGCATATCAACTCGATAACATTAATTGAAAATGTTCAAGGTTTAACGTTGGAAGTTTGATGTACAATTTAGGAATTGATTTTAGATTTATTACAGTTTAAAGTTCATTGTCTGTTTTGGATTATTACTCAAATTACATTGTTAATCTCAATGGGGGTCACTAATATGGTTGATGGTCTGATCTTGGTCGATGTGATGTGTTCTTCTCAATCATGAAATCAATGTGGATAGTCCGCAGACCATGTGCTGAGTAACACCTAAGTGAAGCATTTTAACACATTTAGAACAACATAAATCCATTAACTTGCATGAGATAGTTGGGTGGGGCCAATCAACTATTACAGGAAGACCTTATTACAGTAACTTAAGAACATTAGGTTATGAATATGCAACATTGTTTTGTATATTGATCACATTCTTTCTGGTAAAAAAAATCCTTCAAATGTTTCCTGGTAATGATCATTAGAAAGTACAAAACATGTCAAATAACATTTTAGATTTATTACATCTCGAAGTTATTTTATATGCTATTTTGAAAGAATCTAAATGGTGTGTAAGCTACTAAAATGAATAAAGATTTTGAATAAATTTGGTTAGTCAAAACTGGGTTTTTCTTTTTCTTGTTCGGGTTGTCATATCGGGATTTTATCCTTTTCCAAAAAGATTTCTCCACATATGTTCATCAAGGTAGGCATTCAAGGAATCTACTTGCAGTTAAAGAATTCCAAAAAAAGTTATTTTTTAAAAGTACGATGCTATTAATGAATTTTTTTTGCAAAGTTCAACGCTATTAATGAAATTCGCTTCCAAAACATTGTCCTACAAATGAGCTTCAATGTTGGAAAACATGAAACGTTTCAAAATCATCTAAAATATTCCAAAATAATATTTTTCTTAAAGTACAATGCCGTTAAAAAACTTTTTTTTTTTTTTGCAAATTTCAATACTAAAAACAAATTTTCCCTAGAAAATTGTCATATTAATGGCCTACTAATTAACATTTAGATTTATATATTACATAAATGGTTCACTTGTGAACAAAAATACATAAATGGTCCATATTTGAAATGTTTTTTTACATAAGTGGTCTATATGCGAAAGAAAATGAAAATGTACTTTCCATTAACAAAATGTTTTCAAAAAAATCCTATTAATGAGCTCTAATGTACATAAAAATAAAACTTTTCTAGATTAGCCAAAAAGAATCCGAAAAAGTTCTTTTTTGAAACTACGATGCTTTTAATGAATTTTTTTGCAAAGTTTAATGCTATTAATGAATATTTTTTTTTCCAGAAGACAATCCTTTAAATTATCTTCAATATACAAAAAATGTAATTTTCCATATCAACTAAAAATAATTCAAAAAAAATCATTTTTTTAAGAGTACGATGCTATATATGAACTTTTTTTTTCAAAGTTCAATACTAAAAGCAATTTTTTCCAGAAAAGGTCTTAATATAAGGTTAAAAGAGCATATTGTAAAATAATTATCGATCTATATGAGCAAGAATTAAACATTTCCATCAATACCCAAAAAGGCATATAAATCATGTCTCATTTTGTAATTAATTCCAACGCCTCACAATGTGGAATCCTCTCAGTGGTAGCATTCCAGAACTCAAACCACAATGGATAATCAATATGAAGAGAAGTTGCAATAAAAAATAATAATTGTCACCATCTTATACAAATATTATAGATTATTGGGGTGTTAGATAGCGTAATAACTTGCCAACAAAAAAAAATACCAACACCTTGTAGACATCACCTGTACAATATTTAATAAATATACAAAAAAACATTATATAAAATAAACTATGGTTATGATATCTCTTCTAGGGTACATATGATTATGGAAATTAATGACAACAAAAATCTTCAATATTTAAGTGGCTCTAAATACAACTACCCTCCAGTTTTAGGGCCCTTGACTTCACCCCACTCCCAAGCAGAAACGGTCCCTCAAATACTTTAAAAAAACCTGAAAGATTAAAATATACACACAAAAAGATGAAAATGGTAAAATGAACTTTCAAATATAAGATCAATATTTTATAGACAATACTACAAACAAGCTAGAAACATGCAAATAGAGACGAAAGAACATCATAATTAGATTAACACCATACAATCATTTAGTCTTATCTTTCTTCTTCCCTTATAGGAGTTTATAAAACATTTTCTATTGTATGATGGATTT